TGGACGTCGGAGTGGCTATATTAATTGTTACACGAATGGGTCAGCTCGACCGACCGTCGAATTTTTACTGGTAACGAGGCATTCCAACTTAGTCCTCAGGGATGACAACGCATCTGCATTTTGATACTTAATCGAGAATAGATGTAGATGTCTATGGCCACAGCATCCACTTACCATCAGGTGGACTGTGTGCTCGTTTACCAACCTCATTTTATAAAAAAAATAAGACTAAGAAACCAATTATGAAGTATCTTTATGATTTGAACACGATGATTTCATTCAGTCTCTACTTAACTAACCTCGCACTTCCATGACATCAAAATATTTTATAAAAGAAAAAAAGGCATCAAACATAAAATATTGCTTGGTACATTGTACATTTTTGTATAAAATCCTATCAATTATTGCTTGTTTGTTTTGCGTTAAAGAATTAAGTTTATTAATTGCATTGCTATATGCATCAAATGGCTAGACAATGGCGCAAAATACATAAAATAAAAAAAACCTAAATTTCATTACCAATGCAATAGTGGTAAAGTAAGGCAATTATTTCAAATATAGTACGTGCGGGTAATATGGTCATCCGGTTAATATGGTCACTTTCTTGTAACTCAAAAACTACAGCCTTTTTTGCATAGATGGCTTTGTGATACGATAGCCCTACATATTATTGAATATGTAGGGCGAGACCCTTTTATGACACGAACACAAATAAATTAAACATAATATACAATTACATATAACCATGCCTTTAATTGAAATTGACTCTTTGCTGATTTTTTTAACTTGCTTCGTGTTTTTGAGGTTAGATTTGTTTGCGTGAGGTGAAATTTTAAGTGTGCAACATAATTCGTAACTTTCGTGACAGTTTTATCAAAATTCGACTGTTACAATTTCTAATAAGTGACAATTACTTTAGTTTAATAAAAAATAATAATTTTAAACACGGAAGTGTAACTTCCAACGCCCTGTGTTTTTGATTTACAAATGTCGCAGGGATCGCACCCGGGTTGCTCCCGTACTGTGAAATTCACAGCGAGCGCTAACCGTCTGAGCTACCACAGCTCGGAAATATAAATTAGTAATACAATTATTGCAAGATAGATATTTCGTACATTATGACATTCAATTCGGGCCGAAACCGCAAATTCTGCAGCCAATAAGCCGATAATTATGTCCGTTGCAATATTTATTCTATAATTAATTATGATAATGCCATTAACTAACTTTGACTGTGTAACACTATTAAGGTATAAGAAATTAAAATGGTTTAGGATTAAATGCTCTTAGGTCGTTGACGATGAATTCTGTTCTCTCAATTTTACTCGATATCTCCAGCTGAACGAAAATAACGGCTTTAGTAAAAAGGAAAATTGCTTTTATGAAAACAAGTGTGCCAACACAGCGACGAACTTATTAACACTATTCTTCGGTACAGGTATGGCGTTTTAAAATATGACATAATGTACAATAGTTAGCTAAGGTGATAGTTTTTCTGAAATACTTTAACATTTTACCCTTCGATCTCGAAAGCAAGTTTTGAGAATTGAGAACTCACATTCTCGTATTCCTTTACTTTTTCTTAACTATGGTTTGGTACCTACGACTTTATGAAAATATTTTTTTTTTTTGGTTATTTTTGGAACTCCGTGATGCAGTAGCATATTGTGGAAATAAATGATATTGCGACGGTAGAGCGTTGTTACGAAATTTTGTCATTAAATTATACCTACTCAATCAGTCAGTCATTCATTAAATATTGGTATAAAGTATATATGAACCGACCATGAAAATCGCTATAACTTGAAACATGGAAAGTCGAGTGTAGACAAAGCATAAAACGACAAAGCGGCTGTCTGCTTGTGTTGTTAGTGATTTGAAAAACATTGTATACGAAAAAGGACAATAAGTTGCAACGAGGTTATACTGGAACGTGAAGCGATCGCACGTTTCGAGCACGCTCCTGCCGGGGTGGGGGTGCAATGTTGTGTGCTGGGGGCCCGCGCGCCGCCGCACTGGACGTCGCGCGATCGATCGTGCTGCGTTGCGCTGCTGTATTATTTATTTGTACCAAAAATATGGCGGCGTGGTGCGGCACGCGGTCGTCAACCTCACTCGCCACGCCATGGCGCGTAAACAACGGGCACAGCGCGCGAAACTGATACACTTTACTTTCCTAACTGAGGAGAGCAAAGCAATGGAGCTTTGCTAGTCCGTTGCTTCTGTTGCAAAACAACGTACGCATATTGTACTAATTAGAACATAATTTACTTTCCGTTACTCTGCGATCTTTTCGATAAACTCTGTACTTTTCCTGTCTTTCTTATAGAATGCTTCTTATTACGGTTTCAAATATCAGAAGTGCCTAGTACTACAAATTATATGCATAATCATTTTAGAGCCTAAACAAAACAGGATCTGTAGATGTTAGAAGTGGTTTTTAGCAAGAAGGTAAATTATCGAAAAACTACTTTTATTCTACGTTATGTGGGAAAATATCTAAATAAATGGAAATAGTTTAATTTTACAGATAAACGTCTTATCACCTCCTTCTTTAAAACCCGTAGCTTTGTTGTAAAATGGTGTAGATTTCAAAAAATGTTGAAAATCGATTTTTATAATCAAATTTTAAGGGATAAAAGATAGTGTAAAATCTTTTTGCGTAAAATTGAAAACTTAAATGTTCACAAATCCTAAATTAAAAATGAAGGGTTACGTTAATGCAATTTACTGCCACTAGTCAACACTACTACCATATTATCATACTTTTTAACGGCCTCGTCTCAAATAAGGAGGATGATTATGCTTAAATGGTTTTCACCTTTGATATTAACTCATTCCTTGGTTATTTTAGTAGTTTTAAATCAATTTTAACTTCTTTAAGATTGTGCAAGTTTTGACGGATTTTCTTAATCGAATATTATTGTTTACATTTAAGTCTAATATTATTTATTATGCTTATACCGTTAAAATTTCACACGAGTAAGTATACCTATATGTGTATAGATTATAAAATAAAGCATTAAATAAAATTTCAACTACCGGTGTGGGATAAGATCCGAGGTTCTGTTCTTTTCCCTCCCTTTTTCTTGGACTACAATTCTACTTGCTATCCAGGTTCGTTTGTCAAACTTTTGTGTAACCTTCAAATAAATAAAACAACACCATGTATAAAGCCTCTTAGAAATTTCAGATATGTTTCTTTATTGTCCATTTAAAAGTTTGAATTTTTAAGTTGGCGTCACAAGCAGTTTAAATAAATATCTTGACATGTGTAGCATAGTATACCGCCGGGCGGGCGCCAGCTATCGTCACTGTGACGTAGCCTACGTACACACGACACGTAGGTAGGTACGCGAATAAAATGTATGCAGCAAACAAGCATTACATATCTAGACATGTCAGGTTGCCAGGTAATGGATACGCAAGGCGCGGCGCGGCGCCACGTCCACTTCAACCTCGACGCATAGATTTGCAAAGGTAGACTGATTTTAGTTGCGCCCACTGGAAACATTTCCCGTTTCTTGGTTTTTTGTTTTTGTAAACCGTGAATAATGTGTTAGTATTTTTGGAAGTTGTTTAAACTGATTTGTTGTTTTTTTTTCACGTTCATACGGAATAGAAGTCAATTTGAAATTCGTTAACAGATAACGTACAAAAACTTCAAGACATTCAAAGCATGTATTTTGCTAGACCTATTGGTGGCGATTTTTTCAGTAGATACATAACGACTTTAGACTTGTAGACTTGTTCAAACCAAGCAAGCGTGAGGAGTGTCATCGAAAATTAAATTGTGCCAATAACATAAAGCAAAGTTTTACCGGATCACATGACTATTCTTCAAAATTTCAAATTGAACTGTATCGGCCTTATTCCAAAACACGGACTCGCTACACATTAGAGATGGGCCGAATATATATTTCACCGAATACGAATACTTGGCCGAAAGTTCGGTAAAACTTTTACCGAACCGAATATTCGGCCGAACATTATTCAGCAGGATCGCCTCTGTACCAAAAGAATTTATGTCGAAACTTGTTACCGTAAAGCGCTCGGGATTAGCGCATGACCCTGCCCCTCACTCCCCCGCCACACCTGACATGTTGTATCATAAGTACTGAGCAAATTGCCGGCACATGCTTATGTTTTAAATATTTTTGTGAGAAAAAAAGTATTTCGTTGTGTTATTCTTAGTGAAAAATTGATAATTAAAATTATATGATAAAAATGAGTGGCAGGAGATCTACTATTTGAAGTTTGAACTTATTTTAGGGAAACTGACGACTAAGGTAAAGTGAACTAATGTAATATAATCTTCTTTGTTTTATTCAAAGAACATTTTATCAAGTTTTCTATTTCCTATAAATGGAAATAAACTTACAGTGCCTCAAAAACATAACGCTATACAAGTAGATTTAACCCATAAATGAAATATACTTTCAACAGTAAAATTATGAAATCTCTACTAAATATCGTCGTTCATATTGCAATTAGTTTTATGTCAAAAATGACAAATTTACAGGAGAGTAAAAAAACAGCATACTGTAAAAAATCTTTTAAGACACCAAAATGTTTTTTAACTAATGTTTCCTATTGTATTCAATTAAATGTGCATTTTGAATTTTCCATAAATAATTATATTATGTTAGAAATTTGATATAGAACCTATTGTAACTACAATTGACATAAAATTTGTGACATGTAACATATTGATAGTTTATTTGTATGAAATAATACACAGATAATTTCAAAAATCAGGTAAAGCATTTATTCAAGTTATTTATAATTAAAGTAGAAATAATCACAAATATGTATAGTTAAGAAAAATAAACAACAATATAGATGTAAAAATTTCTTGACAAACTTAAAAATGTTGTTAGCTTATAACAAAATAAAATTAAACTTATTTTAAAATTAAACTTAAATAGCAGGGTAAAATGAAGAAAGTGATGTAACGAATGTAACAATTAATATTTAGTATGCAATGCGACCATTGCACACTAATTATTTCGTTTATGAGGACAGGCATCAGGATCTGAACAATTATGTTCTAAGGAGTAATAAAAAGGGTGATAATCTTTAGTTATCAGTGGTTTTAATTCTTGTAAATGTATAAATTTTGTAGTGTCAATAGGGAGAAATGATTGATAATGAGCAGTATCAGTTCGTGTGTAGTTTTTGTTTGAGTGTCGCGGTAATTCTTTGAAGTCGTCATTAAAGTTCAACTTATACCGTATGATCCCATCTGGATTATATTGCAGGCTTACAATATCAACTACAAGTGGATCGCCTTTTTTGTTTCCTGGTCGAATACTGGAGTATCTACCACCTTCATACCTGCTGAAATCACTGTAGCTTAGACAAACTAATTTATACGGTTCAGGCTTGCTTCTTGCGCTCTTTATTGTATTTATATAGTGTCCAGGAATGAAAATATCTCGATGAGGTGGCAACTTTCTTTCGATGCTGCTATGTATCGAGTCGACTTCCATCTGGGTGTGCCCAACTTCGGGGTATTTTTGTTCGATGATTATGTTCTTTTCGACTGATAATTCAATTAGAGCATTAGACAAATTCAAGGATCGATTTTGGTAACCACACCCATCACTCCACAGGATAATTTTTTTGGTATTTGGTGCCTTTTCTAGTTCTGCCTTTAGGTGTTTCATCATAATAGACATAAATACATCACTGTCTAAGCCACCGCTTCCCTCGTGAAATAGAGAGCAAATCACTTCTTTTGTTTTTAAATTATAGTGTGTGTAATTGTGAACTTTAAGTTTTGTTTTATAGTAAACAGCTGATGCCTGGATTCTTGGGCATAGAAGTACCGCTTGGACATCCATAGTGTATACTAATACATCATCTTCAGTATTGTTTTTGTCATTATCCTTATTTTGTCTTGCTGTTTCTTTTTTCTTCAAGTGACTCCTGTACTCATCTTCATTAATATTACCATTCTTGTAGGCTAAGCACTTGTTGCACTGGTCTTTCCTGGGCTTAAAAATAGACAAATTAAGCTTGCGATACTTCCTCTGCTCGAACGTCGCAACACAATATCGTCTCTTGTTATTTGAACAAAACTTTTTATATTCAGCATACAGATCACCATGAACACTATTCCAGATTGGTTCTAAATATAATTTTGAGGAAGATGATCTGCAATAATGGGACTCTACTTTCGGCAGACTGTCGAAAAATTCTCGAATTGAATCGGATGCATTATTTTGAGTCCTTGCATTACAATCATTTCCATTTTGAGAGATAATAAAACTTTCTGCCACATCTTTACTAGGAACAACCCAATCCCTCAGTTGTCTTTGGCCAATGCACAAAGTTTTCATAAACATTTGCTTACAAACATGAACTCTTTTAGCGTTATCTTTCAAAGATAGGAAATATTTAAATCCTTTGTTTTTCCTAGAATCTACGCTTGATGAACTTCGAAGCTGTGGTGCATATACACTTACTAAATTTCGGACATATACTTTACGAGCTTCCCAAGAACTCAGTGCCCAATAAGAATCAAAAATCAGTTTTCGGTCTTCTTCGGTTAACATTTCACATTCAAACCTTTGTCTCGGTCCCCAATGTTTCACTTCAGTATGCCCACCACATTTAGCTGGTCTTAATAGTATTTGTTTGTATTTTCCATTCCTATCCTTCTCAAAACCTTCATATTGTTTACCTTGTAACCTAGCCTTAGAGTTTTTTAATCTCTTTCCATTTTGTCTGATCAGCTTGACCCTTACGATTGCGTTTCATTTTGTGGGTATCCTTACGAGTAAGCACTCCTGTCTCCTTATCAAGGACCTCTGCGTTGGAGCTCTTACTTTCTTCTAATAAATTAGATTGAAAGCCAACATTACTTTCTTCTGGCAGGTAGTCAGAGTCAGAAGACGACTCTTCTTCGAACAAGACCTCTTCACTAGACGTGTCACACTGCAGCATAGTTTCATCTTCATGCAACTGGCCAGTAGCTTCGTTCAGTCGCTGCTGGCGAGGTTGTTGAAAGGAACTTGTAGCTAACTGTACTAACCGCCTTCCTCTTGTGTTATTCATCTGCAACAATCAACCACCAAGCCATGCATACAAAATCAAAGCAAAATTCAAAAGGTTCTATGTTGCGTGTGTAACTACGTATTGCAACATAGGTCTTATTGTTTAATTGGTATTATTTACAAAAAGGGTAAAAATAAACATTTTTTAAAGAAGAAAAGTTATCTGTTAATAGATTTGCATCACTATATGTCTTAAGCGCTTTACAGTAAAAAAATGCAGTCAAAAAAGCGGACTCACGGCGCTTTTTGTTAAAAGTTAGGTTAAGATTTCTCATAAGTGTAAAACCAGCACACAAATGATACGTAATTTATGATAACTATCAACTTACCTCAGAAACAAAGCACAATACTATAACTTAATAATTTTCACTTGTTTTTTCTCAGAGCAAATATCCGTTGCCACTCAAACTTTGACATAGAACAATTTGCCTGTATACGATTTACTGCCGAGTAGATCACGTGACATATTGCAAGTTTCAAATGCCACTTTCCCATTGGTAGATGACATTGAACCTTTATCGGTCGCGTTAAAAATTAAAATTAAAGCATACCTTAGAAATAAAAAAAAAATCATCAATCAAAATTTTCGACATTGAACAAATTGCAATATGAACGACGATATAGTACTGGGATTAATACTAGGTTTAAAGCATGAACTAAATAAAACGTTATTACAAAACGAAAATTATCTATAATAAAGTATTAACTGTTGTACTAAAGTTAAACTCCAGAGTTCGCTGGTTTATCTATAGGACTAACATAAATTTTAGTACTTACGTTATTAGAGGTTAGCGTTGTTTACTCCTTACTACTCCGTACTACTTTCCTTGTCATGAGATTTTCATTTATGTTTGTTTATTAATTAGTATTACTAAGTATTTATGGCTAGTTTTTTTGTCTTTCTCAAAAAATTATTAAATATATAAGATGTTCCTAATATAAGTACATCAATTACCTGATAAAGAAGCTACTAGGACATCTTTTACTAAACTTTAAATTCAAAAATCATTTTTAAAACATATACGAATTGATCATAACATTATTAAGTTAAAAATAAGTTATGTTCTAATTAATGATATTTATACCAGTTTATAACAGTCCTGATTTATATTACGTGGCAGAAATTAAGTACTTCTTATTAGGTACGTCAAACCAAATAGCAGCCTTTTTGACACTTGGATCCTTTAGTTCTCGTTGAAAACAGTACGAAAACAATTTATGTATTGGAATGAGACCAAAGATGTTTTATAGGTCAATAAGACTGTATGTGCCTATGGGAGTTTATTAGTCCTTTTATAATCTTAAATGTAATTGTACCGGGCCATAATTAAAATGTATTTCTATTGGTGATCATAACTTTTGATGATATTAATATTTCCTACAATAAATAACAACTAATGTTATTTACATGCTATGTTACAGCGTGCTATAATGCACGCTGTAAATAAAAACGCTAAAATGTTATGATTTCTATTAAGTGAACAATAAGTGAAAAATATGTGTACATAGAGACATGAGCAGCTAGTTAACGTCTGCAACCGCGAGTCTTACTAGGTGAGTAGTTGTTCGCCTAACGCATTTCCTAACCGATATTTACTACACCGGGTCTCGTGGGTATCGCGCAGGCTCCCACGCTAATTACTTTAGCTACATGTAACTCGCGGCTTACGATCAATGAAAAATTATTAATTCATCAATGAAACAGCCATTATTCTTATCTTTGATATTTTTTTCTTTGCACACAATTAGTATCGATTATTATCGATACTATGTTGGATTGATAAAACGGTATTTTCGTTGCATAAACACGCAACGTACGTCTTTTCATATTACTGATAAATATTTATAACATTAATTTCGATTAATAAAAAGTTTTTGTAATTTACAATTTACATCTGCGTATGACTTCAATAGGATAGAATGATTTTTATTCAATATAGATTATTTACATAATAGTTATTGAAAGTATTTTAAAGTGAAAACTTCTTTAGCATCGTTGTGATTTGAAAGTCTATGAAACGAAAATGCGACAGTAAAAACAGACAGACACATAAATTCATAAGATTTAACGTGGGAGAAGATGAGATAGGAAGCATTGTAGCTCAATACTCGTGAGAAAAAAGTCGTAATCGCCACCGAAACGGCGTCGCTTACGCGTTGCGTTGTTTTGCTTATAATAATAATAATAATCTTTATTTCGGACCAAAATTAATCCATAGTAGTGTTAGTAACAATTGACTTATAAACTAGTGTTAGTAAACATTAAAGTATGAATAAACTTTTTCAAAATCGGAGAATTATAGTCCTCCGCTACTGTTTTCAAAATGCTGTTGTGACTGTCTCTCACCCTTATGAAATCATTGAGCTATTATGTACTACGTACTAGAGGCGACACTGCATTCAGCTACTCTGTTCCACTCAACTGCGGTGCATACACCGCACTTTAATCAGTCACTCGCTAGGCGCTTATAGAGTTTTCACGTGTTGTGTTAATTTATTTATTTAAAAAAAACTTAATAAAAATATGCCGTCGTGTGTACTTAGATATTGCACAAATAATTCAAGAAATGTCAGTAAAAACCAAGGGATTACTTTTGATCGGTTAATAAGATACTTAATCAATAAAAAGTATTATGTATAAATAATAAAACAAATTATTCCTAACGACGCCATCTCATGTCAGGGAATATAGATTATGAAATTAATATGTTCAGATGCGACATTTCTGTTGGTACTTAAGTATAGGACGAATATATTATTATACACATGTTTTTTGGAGAAACATATATAAGTTATATAATTTGGCAAAATTTCTCATGTTTAAATCTACTTATTATTCTTTTATTTTATTTTTAGGTTTTCACATCAAAGTCAAAGTGGTATAAATTCGTCCATTTTTAACTCTCGCGTGCCCAGCATTTATGAACGACTTTTATTCTAATTTAAATAAATATATTTGTACTTTAAATATTATGTTAATAAGTTTTGTTAAACTTTTATTATGTTTTTTATATTTGACTTAGATACGTTTTAAAATATTCAGATAAAATATTATTAAAATGTAATTGTGATATAATATCACGTAATATTATGTTAAATGAACAAATATAATATACAAAATAAATGACAAAAAATAAATATTGTTCTCGATATAATTTATCTATTTAACAATACAATCTACTATTACCTACGGATCATTCTACCTATGTTTATTCTATGATAAAAAACCAACCGCGGGAATACAGAGTAGCGCACATTTTTTGTTTGAGATAGCTGTTCTAGTACGTAAGTACATACTACTTCAATGAATGAAATAAACAAGCAGTGAAGACTGAAGAACGGCCAAACCTCAACTTCGTAATAGGTAAAATTGATATAAATCTTTTTGTAATTAGTGAGTAGTACTATATAAGGTATATCGAAAATCAATCTCCTCGTTGTAAAAATTTGTGGCTGACCCGTACTTTTAAAAATACATTAACAATGACGAAGACTTCTTTAGATATTTTAAACATGGTCGGATTAAAATATGTCTTTTAAATAAAATAAGTAATAAAATAAATGAGTCCAAGTAGTACTAATTTGAATAAAAAAAGAACCATCAAAAACGTGCGTTTCCCATCTATATGGTTCACTTTTCATAATCTGATTTTCATATAGAAATGGCAGCCACGTGGCAGCTTCAGTAAACAGTATAATAGTATATAATAGTAATATAATAGTTAAAATAGTATAATAGTATAGTTTAATAACAAATAAAATTAACCATATTGAAAAAAAAACAATCATTAAAAATTCATGATTTCATAAATTCAGGCCATCTAGCGTCTGTCTATTTTACGTACTACCTTGGGTGTCAATCAGTTGTTCGATAAAGTGACTACCTATAGAATGAGGTAGGTGGCGCTATTATAATTTTACTGGATGGAAAATATAACATCGGTATGTCATATATATATATATATATATATATATATATATATATATATATATATATATATATATATATATATATATATATATATATATATATATATATTAAAAGGATTGTTACATTTATTTACTACAAAATTAAATTTCCTTATATTTTATGCCTAACTTGTTTAATTATAAATATTAAATAAATCATTTGCCGTAAAGTATTTGTATTTTATATTTCATTTCATTTGAAGGTTTTACTTCTGTCGCGTGTGAGCTGCACGCATGTTTTTTTTATTAATTTATGTTTCGGAAAATACCTTTGTCGTGGGAAAACCAGCAAGAAACCCAAAGGATATTTTTTAAATATATTTCACTTTACAATAATTTTGACAATTTTTAAATTAATTTTAATAGAAACAGCATGGTTACGATCACCTCATTCCCAGGGGCTACTTTCATTCATATATTCTCTGACATTATAACAACTTAGGGATGGGCCGAATATGAATTTCACCGAATACGAATATTCGGCCGAATGTTCAGTCAAATTTTTACCGAACCGAATATTCGGCCGTACA